AATATTTTTCACCGAAAGAAGTATGTAGATATTTGTAAAACTGAGTAAAAAAAATTTCGCAATATGCTTAATTGCTAACAAATTATTTCCCTTAATTTATATTGGTACATATACATACATATGTATATGTATGTACATATGCTTGCACATATCCATAGAGCAAACATACATTAAATGTATATACATATGTATTTATCTCCGTTAATGTGGCATCATGTTTTTTATAGTCTAAGCGCGCAAATTTTCACTACTATCCTGGTAGATGCCAGCACACTTGTTCCCTCTTCGAACTTCTATTACATCCACTTGCTCGTGTGCTTGAAGTTTCATATGCACAGCATCCTGCTAAGGGCATCACATTATATATATTATGTACATACAAACACATAAATATATCTCTATAGATAAATAGCGCATTTGCGCGTTGCGCTTGAACGATGTAGAGATGAAAATGTGAAAATAAGTTTTCATAAATATTTATGACTCTATTAAGGTGCAAAAGGCGCGAGGCAATAACAAAAACAACAGTAAACCATAGCTACCCGCCAACAACCGGAACAAAATATAACAATAAACTCAACGCAAAGTTTGTAGCGGCGTGAGTACAGTGACGCGGCAACATCAGCTGTAGTACTCAAGCGCCGCACAGTGGTACAGCTCCATACATCTTTTAGAAAAAATTAGAAAGAGTCGGCGTAGAATCTCAATTATCCGTATGCAATATTTATGGTCATAAATCAAAAAAATACAAAATAAAAAATTGGACGAAATCAGTGTGTTTCGAAAACTCCTCCCTTATGTACCTAACCTCAAAAACGCCTTAAAATGCCATAAAAAGCTCAAAAATGAATTTCTGACTCCGAAATTTTGTCCAAATGTTTTCATTAACGTACTGTCTGAACCCTCAAAAAAGCTGCGTAATTTGTTTATTTCAAAGCATATCTCCCATATAAACATAACCTCAAAAACGTCTTAAAAAAGCCACAAAAAGCGGACCGCTGAACATATCATTCTAAAATTTTGCCCATATGTTAGTAATAATATTATAACCCAACGCTCCAAAAATAGGGATAATCAGTTTATTTCAGCACACATCTCCCATGCAAACTTAACCTCCAAAACGCCTTAAAAAGTTGGTGGTTAAATTAAAAGTCGCAAATATGAGCAATTTTTTTCAAAAAACGAAAGAAAGGAATGCGATCTTTAATTTTCCTATAGCTAGAAGCTGAGGAAGATCGGTGGAACAATGTTAATTGTTTGCTTACATTTATTCAAAGATTTGTTCGATTGCATTGATTTTTCTCTATTTTGGCAAGCAAGTACTTTTATACGAACCTACAACAAAAGTATATCAAAGCAAAAGTTAATAGAAATATACATCGCTGAGTTCAACAAAAATCTCAACAAATTTTAATTGAAAAAAAAAATTCTTCTGATTTCGTAAAAGATTACAGTGAATTTTTCTTCTTCAAATTTTGCTTTAAATGGCTAACCATCCAAGTATTAGAATTGATTTAAAAAAAACGGAGTTATTTCCACCGATATCCCACTGTGCGCCGCCAGGCGCTCGTGAATTTTGTAACAAAAAACGTTGCGACCCGAAGACATTGTCCAATACTGCGCGCCAATACACAGTGGCACAAAACGGCTGACACGTTGGTAACCGTGATGTCCGTTGCTTCCCGTGTTGGGACCGCAGCGCATTCAACCATTTCTTAGCCACTATTTCAGCTAGCACGCAAGCCTGCGACTTGTATGCTTGAGTTTGCATCACTCCTTCCGAATTCGCTTGAGTCCTGAAAGATTTCCAACGAACTGTTCGACACTATTTTCTAAACACCTTTCTCATTTACTTGGGGTACTGGCTCTTTGTGACGCCACAGTGGACATATTTCATTTTCCTATAGTAAAAATAATATTTTGGCGCTTCACTTATGCAAGGTACTTAGCCGAGCTCTTATATAAAGCTGTTTCTTAGTTATATCTTGCTCAGAAGTGAATCGAACCTATGGATAGAGAGAATATCAAAATGCCGGTTATTAGCAAAGCCGGCGTTGGATGAGCTCCATGTCCTACTAATGGGGACAGCTTCTTCAAAAGTCATGCCAAGGTATATTCAATCTGACTGCATGTATAACATTGCAACTAATGCTCGATAAGAACAGCTTTGCAGTTTCTCTCAATGTCGTAGTTTCCTGGTAGCCAGACAATTCTTAAGGAACGATAGCAACTTGACTTGGATGTCACGAAGACGAAAATAACCCACCTGTTTGCTCTGAAAACAACGCTAAGATCGTACCATTTGTATACCTTACTGGTACTGGTGCATTTCCGAACAAGGGGATACGTAAAATATGCCGTAACATTTCCAAACATTTGCCTGTATGGCTATGCTATGTATATCTTATACTCGTATATGAGGTTATGCCCTTTTCAATATTTTCTTGCTGCACTACCTACACCTCCCTCTTTTATTTTTTAACAAAAAAGGAAGCGTGGAAGTAATAAAATGCAGCGTGAAAAGCTGGATAATTACTAATATGACTGACAATACTTCCTTTTGTGGGGATTGTGGAGGAAATGGTGTATAGAGGCATGTAAAAAATCATTGAATAGAGCAAATGCTTATACAAGCATACTTATGTGTATACTAGGATGCCTCACCTTTAAACGGTTAAAGATTGACTTTTTAACAAAAAACTAATACAATTAGACTTTTGAGTTTATTATTTATTGCAAGTGACCTTAAGTTCTAAAATCAAGCAAAAAATTATCATAAGCACAATTTTATACAAAATACAGCACTAAAATCCAAGAAGCGACACATACACACTAATGTACATACTCATGAATGGCATCCATGCGTTTGTATAAACAACATCAACAAAACAAACTCACCACCACACTTGCATTATTTTCAAGTATGACATCATTCAGCTCCGTCATTCATTGCGTGCTTTATTCATAGCCGTAAGTAGAGAGTAAGAGTAATGTGTGTATGTATTTTGCAAACCCTGTCGTTAAATCTAGTAGTTCTGAGCTAGGTGTTTGTGTTTTTGTTCAACTAAATACTTATTTTGTCTGCTATCTTTTGCTACATTGCCAAGCAAGGTGGAATGAAATTAATTTAAGTTGTCACAGAATTTCATAGATCATGGCGATTCGTGACAAGAATTTCAAACCTAACAACAAAATTAAAAAAAAAACATTTGCCGTTCTGACTAGTATCAGTTTCTATAACAGCTTATAGTAGTTAAACTTCTCGCTTTTGTATTGAATAGTTTGGCTTTTCATTACTGGGTATTTATCAGCAAACACATAAATTTCTTCCCAAACAAATGCAGTCACGTATGGGGCAATCCATGTCAAATCGACCATTTTTTATTTGGTTTCATTTTAGTCACAACTTTTGTAGTATCATATGACAACGTCCTGTCAAAGAAAACATTTATTTATTTTTCTTTTTAATGTACGCAAAATTCTAAATTTCACAAATTTCGGGAGTGTGCAAATTTATTTTTGTGAATCTCAAAGCTATTATAGTTACCAAAATGGTTTTGGTCTTATTTTAAAGCTAATATTAGTGGTATAAAGAAGAAATATATTTAAAAAGCGAGAGATAAAAAATTTTGAGATATGCGAAAATTGTTGGTTTTTTTTTTTAAGTACAATGCCTCCAACTGCTCCTTAAAGGTCCTATAATTTTCAATTTTTTTTTAATATACATTTTTAAACTTCAAAAAAATTTTTTGCTAACTCTAAAGTACTGTAAATTTTTTTTTATTTAACTTCAAATTTCTTTAAGTTTGCAAAACTTTTTTTTAAACTTCAAAAATTTTTATCTTCTAAAATACACCTTCTTGAAACTTTGAGGACCTTTTGAGATCAGTTAGCGCTACAGTTAGGTATTGTACAAAAAAATGGAGACACAAATTCATATAAGTTGTAGCTTTCACGATTTTTGAAGTTTCAAAATTCTGTAATTTTTTATGTTTAGATTTTTTTTTTTAAATAATGAATCGTCAACTCTTTGTTTGTCAGACTTTCTTAGCGGTTACTTACATATAGCAATATATGTATTTATACCCATGGATATTTCTACATCTATATGTATTAGAGTCACTTGCCACTCTGGTAATTTACTACTAACTAGCACGAATTCTGCAATATTTAAGTGCATTGTGATTTACCAAGAAATAGAAGCGATATCGAGAAGGGCAGAAGGGGAAGCGTTTTCGTTGCTGAATGCTGGGTGTGTTTCCCGGAAACAGTAATTAAATAATTATTGTGAAATTTCTGAAATCAAATATAATTAACTGAAGTTTGCGGATCACATTCCGCTCACATTTCATTTCCAGAAGCTATTCGCATTGAAGCTCATTGAAACCAGCTGCTCATTGTACGCATTCCAAAAAATTCGCATTAAATAAAAATTTACTTTAACCTTAAAACGACCTTAAAAAGTAAATTTTTTTCCTTAAAACAGTTGTAACGAACTTAAATAAAAAAAATTGATTTGTTTTACGCTTCTTTTGAACACAGAAATCGATTCCTCGACGCAAGAAAAGCAAAACTATATTTTAAAAACTCTTTAAAAAATTGAGGGTAAACTGTGTTCAGGTAAAACAAAAAAAAAAAAATAAATTAAATTGAAAACCCACTTTTTTTTAAAGCAGGGGGAAGACTAGATACTTGAAGTGATCACATTACATTTAAACTCATACAATAAATGGCTGTAATTGGAAATGAACCTTCGAATTGAATAAGTGCAAATGTCTGTAGTGGTAAGTGACGGAAATGTTTGCAGCATTATTATTATACATAAACATGTGTATAAAGAAAAAATAATTTGCGCATAAAAAGTTTTTCTCTAATCACATTCAAACAAATTGCATCTTTTTATAACATGATTTGCTTATATTTACATACAAACATATTCTAATATTTGTAGGTATCACTAACTCCCACCTACTCAACTCTCGTACTTTTTCTCTTTACAGACATATTTCACATTTGATTCGCGTGCTGAACAGCAAACGGAAGTTTATTTACGTTATGGCCAACATCCGGAATTGTATCCCAATCGACGCGGTGAAGTAGTGCAAGGGTAAGTGTAGATAAACACGCACGCACATATAGACAAAAAAAAAACACATTGAAATTTTTATTTTTTATAACAAATATGCAAAAACAAACAAAAATGAAAATAATAAACAAACAAGCACCTGCATCAGCTTTCCATGTTACGTATACGCCCCGGTGCCGTAGAATTGCTTGCATATTTACGTAGCTTGTGGAGAAGAGCAATGCTTCATTGTTGCGACGTAGCGGCGACACAAAAAATATCTACTGACTTGCTCGTGGCAATTTTGTTTCTGAAGATGCTCGCCTGCCTGCCTGCCTGTAGCCTACTTTCTGTAACCTTTTCCAACATCCTTCAATACATTTTAACCTCAATTGTCCTATACTGCCTGGGCTGGATCCAGCTGACATTGCTGTTGCTGCTACTGCTGCTGCGAGGCAATAATTTAATTTTATTATTATTATGCGTAACTTAAGTGCTTTCCGCTGCCTTAATCATATTTTGTTTAGCGCGACGATGCGCAGCGAAGCTCGATGGTAGCGATGCTTCAGTTGTTGTTGGTGGTTAAGTGTGCAAAGAAGAAGACAAGGATATTAAATATTTGCATTGCGAAATGCTTATACTTGTTGTACTTATTCTTCTGCGAAAGTATTCTCAGCAATACTGAGCTGTGTCTCATTGAGGAGTTTACTTCCACAAAAAAAAAATCAAATTCGGTTCAAGCCTGCAATTCCCTGATAATTCGGAACTGTGTTCTAGGGACTCATTTTGATGTTCCTTTAAGACGACCCAAGAACTGGATGCATAGGCTTTAATCGCCCAAAGTTGCTGATAAAATTCAAAGTACAAATATTTCAAAAAATGACTTAAAATAGATTAACTACTGTAAAAAATGGCGTACGTAACATTTATCTTCCCAAAGCCATAGTTAACCTTTTCATCGCTCCATGCTTTAATGACCAAACTATCGTTTCCAAGAAGCAAGACTACTTGTATTGTTGTTCGTGCCGTTGGCTTCGTATTGATCACTCTCAATTTGAACGTGTCTATGCGTAGATTGATCTCTTGGATCCATGTCTAAAACCAGAACTATTGACTTCTCTTATAGTTAGAATATTCTCTTGCACCTTTACGGGGTTATGCTGCGTCGCCATTCCCGGTGAGGTGGTAAGACAACGATCGGCACGTTGGACTTGGTCGGTGGCTTAAGATGAGTGTCAAGTTGTCTGCAACGTTCCAACAGGCATTTACTTCGAGCCTCCTCCTTCATTGAACTTTTGTGTAAGGAACTAGCACTTTGAAACATGCATCATGGTAAAAATGTTGGTGAGGTAGCAGCTCCTCGATACCGTAGCACTAGTTGTGCTGGGAAGGCTGCTGCTATTGGAATTTTTTTAACAGCGCTCTTCGTTTTGTTTCCCTCCTCCTCAGTACTAGGAGTGGAGTAAAAAAAAACTTCGTCCGCTCGGACATAGAGCCGCTGTAGCTTGGTGAGAGGCGAGATAGGTCCAGAGACCGCATACGAAGAACTATATTCGCGACTAAGTTTTATGAGGCTGCCTATAGCCTGACTGATCCTCGTAGTGGGTCTTATGACACCTTGATCCATTAGCGAAAAGGGGTTTTGCCAAGACCGCCTTGGATCTAGGTTTCGCTGAACCGCAAAATATGTTCCATGAAAGATATGTCGAATACTACCACAATCGATCTAGTAGATTCAGACATTTCTTCCGCAGATCGAATTGATTTATGGCAGATGTATTAGAAATGAGTAGCTCGCTTTCAATCTGCTAGGCTTCCATATTCTCTAACCACCTACCAAACTGTACATACTGCTACTTTAACCTTACTTCCTCTTTGCTTAGCGTACATAGCATTCGTACCCACTTCCTAACTGCTCTGCTTGCTTCACCAAATTAGCTTCTGTCTTCCAATCTGCCTGCACGGCAATTCAAATAAAATTCAATTACCAGTTGAGTTGATAAGCAACGATGAATTTACTTTCTATCAATTTATATTTATCTTCATATTAATATCGATTTTCCTAGTCAATACTGTCAGCCAGCAATATCAATAACTTTTTTTTTCGTATGTAGTCACGATTGCTTTGAGTGAGCAAAGCAGAAATCAGTTTGAAGGCACGCAGCAACTGCGATGGTGCTTAGACAAATAATAGTTTCGCAGAATAATACAGGATATTTAACTAACTTGTTTACATTGTTATTGCTGCAGGCATAAATCTTGTATGCGCAAACTAATCACTACTTTTGAAAGAAGTTTATTTTTTCTTACAAAAAACAATAATGGCAATCATAAAAAAGAGAAAAAGCAAGAAAGTTAGTCATTTATTTTTATTTGCTTCAATAACTTTGTGTTAAGGGCGAAGCAGTATTTGGATTAAGAATTGGTTTTCCTTTAGCTTTTTTTTGGAGACATTTTATACTACAGCATTTGTTCTCAAAATACTTTATCAATAACCAGTATCTAAAACGTGCCTACAAACTTACATAAATTCACATATTCATTTGCTTATTGTGTTTATTTGTATGCATTTTCTTGCCTTTCCTTTGATTCTAGCATATTTCAATAAATGCTATTCGTTTGTTTTTTTTTATCAATACGTCAAGTTGACAATGACATTTCAGATAAATTCATACACTTTCATTCTTAGTTATTTATTATTTTTTAATTTTTTTCATGTGGACAATATTGAATATTAAATATTGAAAATTCAAGCATGGAAATGTGTACAAAGAAATGTCAACCAAGAAAGGCATTTCTAAGAAATAACATACGAATAGTTTGCTAAAAATTTCATATTAATTAAGTTAAGAATTTCAAAAATATTTTGATTTGATGAGAAATTTTATATTTATATGTACATATTTAAATAGTTGCATAATGTAATTGACACATGCCAGAGCAAGACGTGCAGTCTAAATATGCTTTCATAAATATGTACATAAAGGCTGAATTTCTTTATTCATTCTGAACGTTTGGAATAATCTTTTTTGTTTACTTATTCTTTAGAACGTAGATGATATGTTAACGTATATTTCAAACACATTCTGTTTATTCTGGCTGTGAAATGAGATTATCCGGAATGTATAAAGAAACGTAGCCAAAAACAAAGGGAATTTCGCTGAAGAAAAAATTTTCATTAATAGTTTTTTTTTTATAGAGAATCAAATTTCTGGCATGTGTCTATAAAAAAGTTAGTTACAACAACAGTATTTTTGCAAATTTTAAAACTAATTAAGCAAACTAAATTTCAGAAAATATTGCAGATATCGGTATTACGCGAAAAAATTGGTCTAAAAATTTCTTGGTCGAATTGCAGTTTTTCAAAAAAAAAAACATTAAATATTTTAAATAAGGTCATCAATCGAAATCTGTGCATAAAAATTTCATTACAGATATACTTTAAGGTAGGGTTACCATCTTTAATGGGACAAAACTGCTGACCCTATATCCTCATACCGTCATATCGAGCCCTAACCGCCAAAATAACGTAAGCGACATTTTTTTCAAAATTTTATGTTTGATGCAGAAATGTATCTAGAAGCTCTAGGAATATTTCTGCATCAAAAAGAAAATTTTGAAAAAAATGTCGCTTACGTTATTTTGGCGGTTAGGGCTCGATATATTTAGTATATTGCGGTTCTTTACTCTCCACTGAGAAAAAATTCAACCAAAAATTGATTAATATTACCAAATTCAAACTTGAAAAGGATTCAACGTGATTTTTGGTTAATATTAACAATGACTTGGTTGATATTTTAAACAATGATTTGGTAATATTAACCACAATTTTGTTTACATTAACCCAACTTTTGGTTGGCGATTTTTTCGTTTGAACACGCTTATGTTCTGCACTTCACAGATGGTTTTTCATAATTCAGAGATACATAACGAAAATTTTTGTAATCATTTTAACACGTTGCCTCTGACGGGATTAGTAAATAACAGCAAGAATAAATTTTCTTCGTCATTTAGTTTGATTCTGCACTTCACAGAGGCTTTTTCGTAATTAATAAAATCACAAAAAAATAGAAACAAATAATATAAATGATGTGTTGCCACTGACGGTATTCGTACTGGATTCTGCCTGCAGCAAACAAACCACAGCAAGCTCCTAGACACGTTCAGCTGCAGCCGTACATACGAATTTTCTCTCAAATGTTCAACTCGAATCACATTTTTTACAATCGGCTTATTAATCATGAAAAAATCAAACCATAACTTGATTGAAAAAAACCAAGCTCAGTGTCCATATAAAAAAGTTACTCTACTTTTCATCCGAATTAGAAAACTTATTATATTCTAAGACCTCCACGAAAATATTAAAAAAAAATTGTAATAATAATTAAAGACCTACGTCAGCTGGACCCATTTGAAGATACCTCCGAAAATGTAGTATTTTTTAAACCAAATTACTTTTTATTTTTTTTTTTAATCATCGTAGATAATAGAAGCTTAAAAGATCTGCATTAAAATGTTTAAAAATTTTACCTTTTACTCTCAAAACTTTTTACTCTCTTTTATGCGATCAGTCGCACGCTGAGCCGGCAAAGTATAAATTCCGTATAAAAAGATTAAGTTAAGTAGAAAAGTGTTTCTTAGATTTTTGCGTTTGCGTTTTTTATAAATTCGCTTGAGTGTATCTACATACATTATAAATACTTTTAAGCGAACTTGTTTTTGTTTTGTGCTGTGAAAGTGAGCTTTTCTAGCACTTCAAAGTGCGAAAGGTATAAAAAAAGTGCAACAGCTTAAATGTAAACAACGCTTTTCTACTTAACTTAATCTTTTTATCCGGAATTTATACTTTGTCTCCTCACCATGCGCCGGATATCCAACCTTTAAAGAATTTTGCGACACCACTCACTCAATGCAATTTGTACATACATACATATATATTTAGTATATAACTGCACTTTTATATATATTTATATTTTTTCTTTTAAATACTTTAGACATTTTTGTTATTGCATTCTCGCTTTAATCCACTTGCGTCTCGTTTAACACAGAAAATTTTATATTTTTTCCCTTTTTATTTCTAACGCATCACTTTTTTTACATATTACAATATATGCGTGTATAATATATGTATATATTTTATTATTATTATTATTATTATTATTATTTATTTAGAATTAAAAATTAATTTTACGACTAAAGGGGAAGGGGCTGAGCACTAGCTGCTATGGCTATCGGCTCATATATTTTATGTCATATACTATTTAACTAATCCTTTTACTCACTTTGCCTCTCTCGTTCTCTCGTTATTTTTTTTTTACAGCTCTTACTGTGAACGCGAGTATCGCGATTGCAGATTACAAACGTGTTACGTGCAATCGCCCGCATATCCTGGCCTATATCCGCGTGCATTAAATTGTCGTTATAAATTGCATACGCGACAGCCGTACATAAAATTGTACTTGCAGAATGAACAATTTGCGGTGGATGGACAGAGGTGAGTGAAAGCAAAAACAAAGGAAAAAATGAAATTCCAAGTTAAAATCCAATAGAGCGAGAAAAAGTTAGATATTGGCAATTTATGTAAGAAAAGGTTGATATACAGAGTTACAGAAATTTTTGTTCTACGTACACATCGCACGTTTAATAATATAGAGTTTTAATTTAATTTACATTTTTGGAGATTTCATCATACAAATAATAAGCCTGGTAATGAGAAAAAATGGGGAAGATAAGTATCTTTCCATCTGGCTTTTGGTGTGTATCAACTGTGTGAATAGATCATACTTTGATTGCGTTTTCCCACAAAAATAAAATTTTTAATTAATTATTAAACGTGCGATATATACATATAGATATGGGTAATTTCCCAACAAAGTGCTATTTTTTTGTACCCCCTTTTTAATTTTTTTTATGGTGGTAAAACCGAAAAATCAAAAAGCATTATACGATCCAAATAATAAGCCACCAGCATAAAGCCGTTGTTGTTTTTTTTTTTTTGTTTGTAAGCTCTTTCGGTTTCTTTCGCGAACGGATTTCTTTTACATATTTTACCAACTCCATATACAAATGTTTGTTCCCGCTCAGGTTATTCGATAATCAAAAATATCTGCATATCTGAATTTTCCAGAGTATCACTTTTTTTTAATTTGGCCGTGATATTAACATTTGTTGTGTTGCTTGCCTAAATCGATTGTCGTTAATTAGCGAAAGAAGTTATTGGTCGATTGTAATTAGAAATAGCTTAATAAAAGAAATTATTTTGCGTTTTTAAGCGAATTTATCTTGCACCATGGTAAATATTTTCGGCAATTCACCCAGTTTTTTAAGCAAAAACACTAAAAATAAGATAATTACCAATGCCAATTTATTTCTTCAAGAGTTTCAATGATTTCCTGGTTTTTATACTTTGGTGAAATAAGATATGAAATATTTCCTGAATGTCACTTTTAGGTGAAAAAGAATTTTTAGCTCATTTTTCCGAAGCTTTTCAAATGGCATATATAGGAAATTTTTGCCGAAGAGAGATTAAACAAAAAGCCTGCCTCCCAAGAAAACCCTCACGTTAATGTCATAAAGAAGGTGGAAAAAACTTCAACATTACCTTATCTGATAAATGAGTTTTAGAGTGATATGCAAATGTTTAAAAAGCATGCATTTTATCTTAAAAATCAGTACAATGCTTATCAGTTAGAATACTTTTTTCTAATAGTTTCTTGAGTTATTTATTCCTTTAGCTACTTTTAAATAAAAACCGACTGGAAAATATTTTACAAAAATGCAAAAATAAGAAAAAAAAAATATTTCTTGAAGAACCTGAAAGCAATTTCATATTCCAACACAAATTTTCACGTTATTAAACGATTTTAGAGAATAAATTTATCAATCTTTAAAATATGTAAAAAAAAATACCTGTCATGTACACTTTGTTTGGAAATTACAAATGTAGGTATGCCCCGTTTAGAAAATTAAATCAAGTTGGATGCCTACGAAGCGTAAAAATATTTACCACATAACTATAACTAGATAAAATTTATAAAAATTATTTTAATTTTTCTTACACTTACGTCAAGTAAATATGTTTTTCTCAACACATGATTTGGTTCCAGTTATGTTATTTGGTTATAGTTGCCAAATCATGTGTTGAGAGAAATATATTCCGCTGATTTTTATTCAGAGTGTAAATTATAAATTTTTCTTACACTTACGTCAAGTAAATATGTTTTTCTCAACACATGATTTGGTTCCAGTTATGTTATTTGGTTATAGTTGCCAAATCATGTGTTGAGAGAAATATATTCCGCTGATTTTTATTCAGAGTGTATAGTTAACTTTTACTTATTTTTAGGCCCCATGGTTCAGTTGGTTAAAAAGTAATTTTGCTAAGTTGTATTTTTAGTGAAAATGCAACTTTACATCGAAAAGGCGCTAAAAAAAGTAAAATTGTACCAAACCGCCTTTCGATCACTAATTGAAAGTGTGTTTTAAGGACATTAATAGCCAGAGGAATTCATAAAAGCAAATGCCCCTTTTTTACGAAGGACTCAATTCTTTTAAAAATTCAAATTCACATAGGCTACTGATCCTCAAGAATATGATTTAGCCATTAAATTTTAGGCCTCAGAAAATTTAAAATGCGGCCCCAAATTTCGGCTGAAATTGACAATTGTGACCATATTTTTCTTTAGTGACAAAAATTTGCAAGTGCATACAAAAAAAAAAAAAAGAAAGCAATAAATAAATAAAGCCAGTGGAAAAGGGTCGCCATTCGTCAACTACGCCTTTTTGTGTTTTTTTTTTTTTATTTTCTTTTTTATTTTCAAAGCACTAAAAATCAAAATTTATTCATGTATTTCGTGCAAATCCCGCAGCACTAAATCATCACTGCAACACAAAAAAAAAAAATACAAATAGAAATTAAAAGAACACTAAACCAAATGAACTGTTGCAGCCAGGGACTGTTGGCTTTCTATGTACTGCATTGTGCGGCATAGCCTACTTTTTAGGCGGCTTTAGACTGTCACTGCCACATTGAGCTCGCACCTAACACCAATGAATGCTGGCTAATGGCGCGTATGATACGAACCAAATGTAGCAATGCAGCTGACGGCGTTGCCGGTGACACGGCGTATGAGTGACATTTCTATGCTAAAGGTGTTCTTACATATATATACGATATGTATTTGCATGTGTACGTTCCACTTTTTACGTATGGAAATGCCAACATATCGTGTAATGGCAAATTAGACTTGTTTCTGTACAAAGCAGATGCACGTACATACGAAATAGAAATGTTTCCATTTTCATCTGACATACAGATAGAATCATCTGAGTTTAGTTTATTTCGATTTCAAAGAACGTATTTTTAAATAGTTAAATAAATACCATGAATTTGACAGACATACGCAATTACATATGTATTGAAAAAGTCACATTTACAGATGCAAATACATATCGTGTAAGAATACCTTAAGCGCTGTGTAGAGTAAAGGAGTGCGAGTGTGTGTGCATATAGTGAAATTTTAGATATACACCGAAATTAACGTAAAGTTAACACTCGGTAATTTGTCATTTTGGCACGTTTCGGCTTTGCAATTGCGATAGAAAAGCAAACGGACGGACGAACAAACGGACGGGCAGCCAGCACAAAAGCGTCAGCTGGCATAGTGAGTGAGCAATTGTAGTTATGTAAGCAGTTAAAAACGAGAGGGTTGCTGTAGCTATGCTTTTAAAGGAATGAGTTGTGTGTGGTAAATGCTTTGTGCGCTGACACTTGCATTTGTTGGCATTTGGCATGCTGACAATGCCAATTTGACAGCTAAAGAAAAAAAAAAACATTTGGCACATTTCACAAGCACACACACAGGCGCACTTGCAGAAAAGCACACAAACACCGTTACAGCTGCGCGAGTGCTATAAATTTACGTTATTCATTATAAATACGTATTTTATATTCATTTCGGATTATTTCGCACTCGTTCTTCTTTGCTCTTTTTCGCTCATCAAAGCACCACACCTTCACTCGGCTACCACTTCTTACCGACAAACACCTTTTAAAGCTTTTCTCACAGCTGTACGCAGCTACAAAGTGGCAGTTAGTCGGTTAAACAAGCACTCGGGTCTTGCTGGTGCACCTCAGGCACCGCTGTCACTCAATAGCGAAGCGCTTATGACTAATGATGATGCTCGCTGGCACTCATAAAACCACAAATATTTTATTTCTGTGACAGTGTCTTTTTTATATTTCTTTTTCCATGTTTTTCACTGGCTTTGTACCCGTATATCAAAAAAAAAATATGTATATCGCTTCTGTTGCCAATTTTTCAAAGCTTTCAATGCATTGTGGTTTGCCCTTTGCCAAGCTTGTTATATTTCATAATACATTCTTCCATTTTTATATTTTGCTATATCTGCTTTTTTCCCTTATACCAGCGTTTCTTTATGTTTTCGTGTAAAAAAAAAAAAAAAAATTATTTAGACATTAGGGTGGCCGAAAATACATAGGACAATCAACTTTTTGATTTCTCCTGCTGCCACCCCCCGTTGTTGTATTTTTTTAGAAACGTGGCAACCCCGTTCAAAAATATTTTTAAATATCTTCAAACGCTTTTTGTTTTGATGATGAAACTTAAATATTTTATCGAACTTTAAATATTTTGAAATTTTCAAATATCTGGCAACACTGTTTTGAAAAACAATACCTACAGAAATAATCGAGTAGAATCCAAGAAAAAAATAAGCACATTCATTGAGCTGTTCGTGCGTAATTTGGCTATGAAAACATAAAATAACAAATTTTGGTATATAACAGTTAGGATTGTCGGTTATTAAAACGCACTTAGTAAGAGTTTTAAGTTAAATAATCACCATAGTGTTATTTTTTTATATAGCAATTTTACGAAAAAAGTTATTTTTCCCATGTAAAATACATGGGAAACTTCAAAGCCCCGGCGACACGGGTAAATATTAATCGATTTCAAATTAAAACAAGTAATTTTTAGCAAAAAAAAACCGACTTCAACACCCATATAAAAAAAATATATATATATATATCTCATGATCCACTGATCGGATCTCAACCAGATTAGTATGGGACCACCTCTGCAAAAAGGATTATCGAAATCGGTTGACGTGGTCCAAAGTTATGCGGTAACATACATAAAAAAAAAAAAGATTCCGACGAACTGATAACCTCCTCCTTTTTTGGAAGTCGGTTAAAAATACGTGTCTCCTTAGTTTTGATATTCTTCAGATCTGGAGGATGGCTGAAGGAAAAGATTTTTAGGCCACCCTAATATAAATACATACTTAAATATATTGGCCTCGTAATTGAGGTGTCCTAATTGCCTGATTTGGCTGCAAGCAAACAAAAAAAAAATCAAAAGTATAAAAGAAGCTCTCTTCTGTGAAGCATAAAAGTAAGCAACATAAAGCTGCCGCAGTGAGGGTATTGGTGTTGTGAAACGCAATAAATTGTAAAATACGTACTGGCAAAGG